GTTTTTAAAAAGTAATTTTAATGGGAACACAGCAATCAATATTTGGCTTTTAATTAGGTTTTAGTGGGGTTATTTTGTGTATTTTTGTATGATTTTCTTTGTATCTTGTATATTGTATTTGTGTTTTTAATATGCTGTGAACCGCCCTGAGTCCTACGGGAGAAGGGCGGTATACAAATTAAATTAACCTTAACCTTAACCTTAACCTTAAAACCTTTCCAAACTTTTCAAAATGCAAAATGGGACCCACGTGTTTGCCCCCCCCTCCTCTCTGGAGACCACAAAGGAATGCTGGCGAGTTCATGTGGCCCCAGGATTAGCCCTTTATCAAATCACTCATCCAGTGCCAACCTATTGTGGGAAAAAAGGCATGGATGTGCATTTTCCTATCCCCGTCATTCTCTGGATAGAAAAAGACTGTAAAGTAAAGGAAGGAGGCAGACAGACTTACTAGGCACTCGGTTAATGGCTTTGAGGGGCCTCAGAACTCGTACAGTGCGGATTGCAGACAAGTTAATATTTTGAAGATCCAGGGAATATTCCACCATCCTGCAAAAGATAAAAGATACTGAAACTATTATATATGGTTAAAACCAACAGAGTAAATGCGGGAAACAGGAGTTAAAGCTGCTCATGCTGACAGAATGGTACCAAATCCCTTTAATATTTCATTTCTTCTTCCTTAGTCTATCCTGAGCATTTGCTAGTAGGAAAGTATTGGGGGAAGCATCACTCTGCAAATCGTATTATAGGTTGCCACTTCACTGGGGCTGAAGAGACCAAACTAATGAGTAGCATGCAGTGCTGTATATCTCAGGCTGCATCATTAGGATATGATGACAGTATCAGGCTATTGATTCAATAGTGAATACCGTTTGGGAATCTTTAAATCTAAGCATGTGCATTCCACAAGCTTTATGAAACCAGCTACCCAAATCCTCAGGTTCAATTAAAAATGCCACCTTTAATCTTTAGGACTTAAAAAGTAGCAGATCAGAAATTTTCCTTCCATTTGTTCCCATCATATTTTATTCTTGATCATACTGGCTGGGCTGGATGCCTAAATTTGTTCAGCAGAATCTGAAGATCCACATGCTGTAGAGAATGAACAATTTCAGGACCCCCATAATTCAGTACTTTAAAAAATTAAGTGTTTATGTGCTAATTTTGTACTATGAGCCTCCTCAGAAGGGATATCTGTATTTGTATATATAACAGTATCTATAAAGAAAATAGGATATATAAATCAGAATGTTGAATCTCTAACAGGAAACAGCTTTTTGAGATAGTATGAGGTACAGATTTTCTTTTGTATTGTCTTCTTTGCCTTGTAATATCTAATCCAGGATTCTAATCCAGGGTTAGAAGAATTCAGGAAATGTTACTGATTTCTTCTAATCTTGGATATGACTTCATAGAATCTGTTCTATTAAATCAGAGAAGAGGAGGGGAGGAGGGGAAGAGAGAGGAAGGAGGAGAGGGGAAGAAGAGGAGGGGAAAAGAGACTAATGCACATAGAAAAAGAGTGGAACTTTGGTTGCCAATTGCAATCACCATTGTCCCTGTTTTGACCCTCTTTGCAGTTGCCAGTGAGAAGGTATAAAGACTGGCAGCCAGCATTTTCCTTAAGATTAGTTTTAAAATAAGTGATCTTACATCTTACTGGCTGAGTTCACATATTATGCTGAGCTACAATGAGGTTTGCTTGCTTATGGTTTAAGTGAATTTCAGTTTCAATGTAATGGTTTGATTAGGTAAACCATGGCTTAATGCAGTGTGGGAATTCAGTCACAGTTTATTCTGTCTGGCACCTGCCTTCCAGTAGAGAAAACTAACTCAGTGCAACCTTCTCAGGAGATCCAAACCATTTTGTAAGCCGGGTCTCTAGGTTTGCAAGATTCAAAGAGAAGAATAGGTTTAAGCTTTATGAGGCAATTAGATAGGACCTTCTTGAATCAATGTAAGCAAGCAACTCACAAAATAGTACAAATACACAGAGACAACATACCACTGAATACTCGGTCTATAAAGTAACTGTAAAAAGAACTCCTGCCATCCCTGACCTGGATGTATCCAGGAAAGAAGATGCACCATTGGCTTGATCTGATTTCTCTACATGTTCATAAACTCCTCTCAAGGACATATATGTTTGCTATTACTGATCTCTTGTCAGTGGAGGAAGAAAGATGGGAAGAAGAAAGAAGAAAGAAGAAAAAAGAAGAAGAAGAAGAAGAAGAAGAAGAAGAAGAAGAAGAAGAAGAAGAAGAAGAAGAAGAAGAAGAAGAAGAAGAAGAAGAAGAAGAAGAAGAAGAAGAAGAAGAAGAAGAAGAAGAAGTCTTCCTCAACCTAACATCCTCCATATATGCTTTTACTTTTAAATTCCAAGTTGTAGACAGTCTGATATAACTGGAAGGTACAAAGCTAGAAAATCAAATCAAAATCCAATTCTCATGAGTCCTGCTCCTGAACTTTAAGAGCAGAGACTAGAGTTGATAGAATTAAGTGGTATAATTAATCAATTAATTCATGAGTCATATTAAAATTCAGAGCAGTCTCCCATGGGAAGAAAGTTCAGGTCTGATGATATTGTCATAAACAATTTATGTTCATCTCTCCAGTCAGGGGATGCATTCAAGATGATTTTTCAAAGAATAAATGTTTTGTCAGTGACAGTTTTCTTCTTTGATCATTAGCACATTGCAATAGATTTTAAATGTTCATTTTAACTGATAGAATAGGTCCATTCATAGGAGTACTTGAAAAATCAGTCCTTGCTACTGGAGGGAATTTGCTTTTGGCCACAAAAAATTTTCTATTTCTTTTTGCCCAGAAATATAAGAATTGATATCCATAATTAGGGCTTATTCTAACATGCAGCAGAACCATTTATGCTGCTGGGGGGGAAATAGATATTTTGAAATTGGTAATATGAAATTAATTAGAGATAGATGTCTTGAAACATAAATTATGTTCCTTTTAATATACATATTTTATATTAACAATACATTATTGTTATCAATTATTTCATTAGTTAAAAATATTTATAAATTGTTTAAATTGCCTATAACTTTAACAAATAGAAGTTTAAACAAATTTAACTAAGAGTGCTTCTCATGCATACATCACACAGCATGGCAAATATAATCACAGTCTAGCTTCTAAGGGGTCTTAAATGTCTATAATATTGCAAATTAGCAGTGTACAAAAAGGGAGAAAGTTAGAATCTCAATAGTTCCTTTTTTCCTTTTTATTTATTTTTTTGGTTTTTAATTGTCCTTTTTATTAAATTAATTAAATATTAAATTAATATTGATAGAATGTTTCTCTGTCTTTATTTTCAATAGTTATTGAAACAATAGAATGTTAATAATTTCAACTAATACAATACAAATATCATTTTAAGATTTACAAAATAAGAATGAAAAAAGTTCCCAAAGTTAAAGAAAGACATTTCTATTATGGTGTCGTGTACAATGCCTTCTTTCATATTATATTAAATGTATATATATACTGCTGGTTTTGTGAGCTTCTGAGAAAATATATTGATTTATTTGTTTAAACTCTGAGGTCATCTGACTTAACAATTCTGGGTGGTTTATGTTTGCTTTTACACCACATATATTTCCTTGGTTTCGCGTCTTCATTCTAGAATTATCTTTAATCATCCACAAAAGTATCCTTTTCCTAGAATGACCACCGTAGAACTTCAGCAAAGGTATAGAAGACTTCTCATCTATGTTGACAGATGCCCCATCTGTGCAATGACTAAAGCTGGTGAGGCAGGAAGTAGCAGTGCTCCGATCCAAAAAAACATTGAATAGATGTCTCAAGGCTAGGAAAGGAAGCCAACGTACAGAGCTTGACTTTTGTGTTCTGCATGTGGAGAGCTTTTATCTTTTCTGCAGTAAAGCCAATTATTTGGCTAAATCATGTCTCTGAAGCTTCTGCTGTAAGCACATTTCTTGATTGCAGGACGAGGCTATGGAAAGCTAAGATTTATTGCTAAACCAGGGATGAAATCTGGATATCTAGGATTGGAAAGGATGAATGCATGAACATATGAGTAGCTGCCATGGGTCCGGTTGTGTTATTGCAGGCAGTGTTCTCTTTTGCCCCATAGCTACAGGGCTCATTAGCACCTAGAAGCTACTTCTCTTCATCATCAGGTATGATTTCACCACTACAAACATTGTATCAATTCTGGTTCAGTCCACTGTGCTGCTACACTTCAAGGACAGTGGCAAGATTATCTCCAGTCAGTTCCTTGATTTAACTGACTGCTTGTGTTGGTTTCTACAATGCTTTGCAAAAATACTCAGAGTTTATCTTGGCCTATATCTGGCATAATTACAGGCAAAAACAAGGGCTAATTTACAACTACTCTTGCAAGGAATGAGTACATGCTTAGGCATCTACAGTTGGAGGTGGAGGTGAGTCATGCAGTCCTAGGAAAAAATGCAGCTGCTTTAAGAGGATAGTTTCCCCAAAGCACCTTTGTGCCCTGAAGTTCTGCACAGCCCTACTACCATCCATTTAAACAATACTGAATATCATATATAAACGCTGACTTAGCTGTTAAACAAATGTTAAAAGAGGTTTCTTCCTACTTTGGCATTTACTGACTGCTTAACATAAATTATCATTCTGTCTGGTAAGGAGAATTCTTGATTGCCTATATAGAGGAAAGTTTGATATATTTCCTTATGTACAACAGAGCCCTTTTTCTATTTGTCTATGCCAAAAGCACCTAGAAATCTGCAAGCACAGAAACATACAATTTAAAAAAACCAAAGATCTCCAAAATTCAAAGAAAAGAAAAAGGAAAGTCTTGGTCCCATCAATATCTGAGATCTTGCCTTTTTTATTCTGCACACAGGTAGCCTTCAGCTTATAACCTGTTCCTTAGCAAGCATTCAGAGTTATGACAGATCTCCCCAGAAATATCACACAGTCATGTGATCACATTTTGGGTGCTTGACAACCAGCCTACATTTACAGCTGTTTTTGCTGGAAACCGGTGTTTACTTCCAGTTACCAGCAAAAAAACACTAATTGGCTAAAATGGGTTCATATCATGACCATGGCATTCATTTAATTACCACAATATTCGTTTAATGACTGTCACAAAAAAGGTAACAAAATCAGTGCGGTTACATGGTGGCCTGCTTAATGATTGCCATGACCTATGATCGTAATTCTAGACTCAATTATGGTCATAAGTTAAGGACAACTTTTATTACCCTGACCAGTATGACCACTGGTCCTACATTAACTGGAACCACTGGAAATAAAAAGTTTGTCTATGCCTTAATTGATCTTCAGGTCAGAAGATACTAACAAAACATTTTAACAAGAAACCAAGGGAAGAGTTCCAGCTTATAATACTGCTCTTTCTCTGTGTGCTCACTTGACTAGATTCTGTATTCATTTGTGTTTTGAAAGTTCTATGACACGCTTTTATTTCTTGTTTTGTTTGGATCTCCTGACCTTCCTAGCCTTCCTAATCTGTTGCAAATTCTTGATCAAACAAGCTCTGACACACAAAAACA